TCTCCAGTTATCTGTTCCGATAGCCAAATTACTCTCTTACCAATGTTAGCCGTGTCCCTGCCAATGCAATTACCATGCCTCCTTGGCCTGTTACGTCTCTTAGTGATTTTGCTGCTGCCAGACTTCCCTGGCCGGAGAGGGTCAGGGTCTCCGTCTGCAGAATGGTCTAACACAAGCAAACCCACTCCCTGCTGCAGCAAAGCTTGTTGTCGTGATCCATAATCATCGCTAATCCCTGTGGTTGATTCGCCTGATTACATGTCAGAACAGGAGTGCAACCTATATAAAAGGAGCTGTTTTCAAATCAGCAGCACATCCTTTCATTAGTTAAGGTACGCGGGTTTGACACAAAAGGTGTCTCTGAAATGTCTCTGGACTGCGGCATAGGAAGACAGCATGTGTCTGTCAGGATAACACTTGACTCAGAATGGGCTTTTTGCCCTATTTTCTAGCTTTTTGGCTGCTGTACAGATAATAGGACGCCTCCAGAGCGGAGAAAGTCTGGCATCGAGGCAGGATTCTTTCGAGTAATACATGGCCCTGGTGGGTATTAATCCTGGTAATTTAGGCAGGTGTATGCGAGTGATCCTGGAAACTAAATATAGATTTCCATGTTAAAGTTTTAGTTTCTATAACGGGGTTTTCTGAAACGCCAGAGAAGTCTGTAGAGCCTGCAGTCTTACTGCAGTTATGAGGTTCATGAATGGCAGAAAAAACACCCCCAAGAAATTATTAATGTTGGGTTTTGGGGATCAAGTAATTGGCCAAAAAATGTTTACAGAAACATTTAAGAAGCGCTTGAGGCTTTGCAATTTTTTCAGCACGCAAATCACTATGTTGGTTTATCCAAATGCTACTGAACAGCAAAACAGGTCCCAACCATAGCTAGAATGGAGCTGACTCACCAGATTTATTCATGACTGTTCATTTATTGGAGTAGTTTTATTTCTTCTCTTTGTAAGCATGACTCCCTTTTCTATCCACAAGATCAGATCACAGTTGCATCTCGTCTTGTGTCAATGCAAACATGTCCCTGTCCTGCTTAAAATCATTCTTTACGTCCCCTGTTTTGTCTGAGTTGTGCCATGTTGGGGAAACTTTCATGGGCTTTGATTTCCCCTTAGTTCTTATTTCTCCTCTACTAGTATTACCATGCTGATTTGTCTTTTCCTCATGCTGTAATTGGTGTGGTGCCACTGTGTAATTTTTAACTGTGTGCAGTATCAACAGTCCTCCATCTGTCTCTCCTCCAGAGCTTCCCAGCCTGCCGTTACAAATATCTGCCAAATCCTGCTCCAAAGAGAGGATCACCAGATTCCAACTGTTTGCAAAATAAGAGCCGCTGCCAGAAGTCCTCTCCCACAGTCTGCAACCCGTGCAGAACCTGTCCCCTGCATGTTGTAAGATGTTACTGCTGGCACTGAGGAGCTCTGACCATTGCTTTAATTTATTGTCCCTCAGAAGCATACACTTCTGCAGAGGGTTCAGCATACTGGTCTGTTTGCTCAAATATCTCATTATGTGTATCATTTTCTTAGAAAGTAACCTTCAATCACCACAAGGTAATAAAACCAAAATAACTTGAGGGTTGGGGTTTTTTTCCCCTTTAAAATGCAGTTCTGGTTTAAAACATGCTGTGGGATGGATCAGTTCCAGTGTTGTTTTGTAAGGTACTTTACTTGACCTGGAAGGGATTCAGAGTGCGTGCCCCTTTCCCAGCCTGTCACTTAGAGACTGAGGGCCATTTACCACGGTCCAAAGCCAGTGTAACTGGTAGGACTTGCTGACTGCGCGCCCGTGTTGCTGAGAGCAGAGTTTGATCTTCCACATTTCTATACATACATGTCAGAATAGATCATTAGAAGAATTAGCACCAAACCAGGCAATGCGTTGTTTAGATTTTGCACACTAAAAAATAGCATGTTTTCTAATGTAGATAAAATAACATAATGTATAAATGCATTTGGATAAAGTAAAATATATAGATTACGGTGTAGGTGCCCTTTTAACACTGTTAAAGCCATTCTCATAACAGCCCATTGATTCCATCGATTTAAAGCCATTTGAGGGTCATGTTGCTTTTTAAACTCAGTTGTGTACCTTAGGCTATGATCATCACTTGTGTTAGCATTTGCTGGTGGTATGGCAGCTTACTGTGACTGAGGAATTACCAACGAATCTCTTGAGGTACTGCTGCAGACATCAAATTAACAATTAATGTATGTTTGAATAAAACTCTTGCCAGCTAAAGTCAGATCCAAGGAGCAAGGTTCCAGTTCTCTCTATGGGATATTGGAGTAAGTCAGCAGAAAGGATTTTTCAGGGTTATTACAGGAGAGTGTTTCACATTGGATCTGCTACATCTTAGTTCTGCAGAGCTTTGCAAAGGAACATAAGGCATGTAAAGCAGATTGAGGATTTGATAAATACTCCTTCCAGTCTACGTTGAGAATAACCCACTATTTCCAAGAGACAGAAAAGTGGGAGCCATAACTGTTTGACATGGACGTGGACCGTGGGGACTGTGGCTGGAGGGTGTTTTTCCGTAGATAAGTAGAGGGAAGCACCTGAAGCACCAAAGAAATTTGGGAGTTTGTTTCGTGATGTATAGTCCAGATTAAAAAGTATCAATATTTCCATTGTCTAGATTGCACTGTGGATTTGGTGTCCATTTGTGAAGGTTTTAGGACAATCAAGTTCATGATTTTCTAGGAGGGTGCGCTACCACTTAATAATACATTATGACAGGAGAGAACTATGTACAAACAAGTCTAAGCCTGCAGGACAGCTATACTTACTCCCAAACGAATAATATCCTCAGCCATTGCCGGGGGTGGCAGGGAGCAAATAGAAAAGTGAAATTAGAGAGACCGGACTATCCCAGCGGTGATGTACTGACTGCCCGGTGTGTCGAGCAGGCAGCGCAAAGGAGCTGGGCTGTGGGTCTAGCTGTGCTTGCAAGATTGAGATCTACCCTTTATTTAAGCCTGATTTTCTGGAGCAAGAATTTCTTGTAAAGGAGCAGCCATGATTTGTTTGAAGTCTTTGGGAGATAAAAAGCAGATGGCATTGATTTGCTAATTAGTAATATTTTCTGCAACTTATCAGCTGTGCTGATATGTGTAGAGTTTGCAAAAGCTTGGGATTAATCTCTCTGATTTGTTGAAAAAATTGAATATTTTAAAATCTGGAGGGGAGGGAAAGTTATATACAAATGTGTAGTTTTCTGCCCAGCAGAAATATGTTAATCTTTTCCTTTGAATTTATATTCAGAGCTCATTTCTTCATTTTTGAGGGGAATATGCACGAGGTTGCAGGTCTCCTAGCTCTTGTCTTGATTGCACAGTGTATTGTGTGACGTGCCCCAGGTTTCTGGTTCTCCCATGTTCCTCTTTGTGGGCATGCTCCTTCTCCTTTTGCATTTATTATGGAGACAAAGCAAAATATTTCTTTTTTTATTTTATGCCAGGCTCACTTTTAGCTTGTGTCCTTATGAACCCTTGGCAGCCACAGCAGCACCCTAGCAGGACTTCTGCCAAGTGTTGGCCACCTCCGTGACCACTACTATTACAGTGGTCAGTGCTGTTTTGGCCAGAGCATCACTCGGGTGTTGGAGGACCCTCCAACCTTGAGTTATACTGGACAAAAGTCAAATATCTTGATGTTGTCTCTATGATGGCAATTGTTCATCTTTTAGGGTGAGATAGAGTACCTCACCAACATGTTAATATGAAGAATGTCTGAGAAAGGATATCAGCCTTTCAGACCCTGCTAGTTGCACAGCAAAATCTTCATATAGCCAAAAAACATGAGACTCATCTGGTTTCTTCAGCAAGGTGGATATGGGAGGGCTCGCAGGCATACACAAGTCCCGATAGTCACGGTAGTCTTTGTGGGAATGAGTGTGGGTAGACACAGCTTTGGGTTCCTAGCAAGCCCCATAATTAGGACTTGCTGCAAATTCCCTGGAGGTTTGAGCTCTGCACCTGCACCACCCCAAAGCCTTTCATGTGACAAGGACCAGTGTAGAAGCTGTATTTTAATTGCCAGTGTGTAGCATGGGTGACACATGAGCTGTCAGCTGGCCACCTGTGACAGCGGAGAATGAGAAGGAGCTTTGCTTTCCTCTTCTGGGTAACTGTCCTCCCTTGCAGATGTTCTGCAGAACAACTTTGCAGTGCTTATCTCACATTTAAGACTTCAAAATAGGGCATGATGCAGTTTGAGCTGGGGCCCAGACATTGTAGTGGTCAACTGCCTGAGTTGTGCTCCATCCAAAAGCCATCGGGACTGGAAATTGCCTAAAGTGAGACAGAGATTTGCTTGTCTGTTACACAGAGCTTTCTATTTTCCGTGGAGTTCAGTGGTGAAGCTTTAGCCTTTCTATTTCCATCAGAATGACATTTTTTATTGGCTCTCAAACTGAAGAAACAACAAATTCTGCATCCTCTCTGGAGCATGGTCTTGTTAATGTTCTTTGAAACACGAGATGTATTGTGGCCTTCAAACTGCAATGATCCCATTTCTTCTGAAATGAGAAAAACATGTCACTTTTGGCTCTAAGTAATACAAAGGGAGAGTCGTATTATAGATAGGAGCTGCATGGCTGCCAAAGATGAAAGAAAAATGTTATTACTTTTGGAAATTTCATAATTACAGTTAATGATAATTTAATGAAATGACATTGTCTTCACTGCTATCGCTAATGAAATGTTTGAGAATGATAAAACAGATCTTGTTAAATAGAGTGAGAGTCTTGAGTGGAATAGTTTTGTGACAGCAACCTGCATGCACAAGTCTTGAATTCCTATTTTTTGTTACAGTAGTTTAAAAAAGAAGATAAATGAAGGCTACATGGCAAATAATGCACACATGAAGTATTTAAAGGCCTTCCATTAAGCAAACAATACTGAAGTCCTGAATAACATGCTGGTCACTGAGTACTGCTCCTTAGAAATGCTAACCCTTCATTAAAACACTTTCCTTGTTTTTCTTTGCAGACAAACCAGAGAGCAAGAAACCCCACCTGACTTTTTTTATTTCTCAGACTATGAAAGACATAATGCAGAAATAGCAGCATTTCATTTGGACAGGCAAGTAAAACAGATTTGCATTAAAAGAAAAGTGGAAATATTGTGATAAGTTTCTGTACTTGGTGAGCTCTGTAACTGAATTACTTTTAAAAGGGGGAAAATGGAACAAAGGTGGGCAAGCACCATGAATAAATGAAATGGCAGATGATGAAATGGTAGATTAATAATTAGGAAATGTGACTTGCTCTGGGAATAAGAAACCTGGCAAAAAGTAATTCTCAAAAAGAAAGAGAAATGATATTGAAGAGAAGCCGAGTAATTAATTTCCCTGGTGATCTTGAAGTGCATGTGGGGAGGACCCATCTCCCAGGGAATCCATGGCATAAGTGTGACGGGAGTCTGGCTCACTCCAATTAGCTCCAGGGCATGTGGATCTGAGTGAGATGTGGGGAATCATGTAGTGTTCAGAGAGGGGAGGGAGTTCTGGTTTCACAGAAAAAAGCTGGGGCCGTCCCACATCAGGAGCATATTTAGATCGTAAGTTAGTAGGAAAGAGAGGACACTGATGGTCATCCCATGCTCCTGTTAGCTCCTGAAAATGTCCCCACAGGCAGAGTTAGTGCAGGGTGTGGTGGATACCCCAAGGCTTGGAATGGACTGCAGCCCTTCAGCCTGCCCAGATTAGGAGCAGGAATTAATAATTAGTGAGGAGCTGTTAACAGTATGGCTAGAAACAATGGCATTTCACAGGCTGAGTTAGAACTGAAACATCTTTCACACCCTGAAGTGCCAAGAAACATCCTTCAAAAGCTTGATGCTTTGGGGCCACAAATTACTTGGGGATATATGTAGCATTGCTGCCTTCTGGGTTGATGGTTAGGATGAGGGAACCTGTCAGTGGGTGGCACAGCGTAGATTTGCCATTAAGAGCCATCCCAGTCAGATCCTTCAAGGATCTTCTATATTTTATATACTATATTTCGTTGTTGTTGACCTTGGTGTTGATCCCTTTTGCTTTATATTTTATACTGCCATTTTAAACAGATGGTGCTGTAGGAAAAAACATTAATGGAGTTCCTGCAGGGAGGTGTGTTAAAAATCCACACACTAAGCAGAAAAAGCAGACGCTATCCAATGTAGCAAATCTTACCAGCAGACAGTGGACATAAAAATCCCACCTACGGGGCGGCTTTGTATGGGGACTTTGCTCTTTTGCTGTATCTAATAGCAATGCTCCGTAGGGAGTTTTTAATGATCTGCTAAGGTGGGGGAGTTTGGGGTAGAGAAAGGCTCTTCACCCAGTCTTTGCCCATGGGAAAATTTCTCATCTCAGGGAGATTATTTAGGTTGGTGTAAGGGTATTACAACAGAGAGGAGCAGAAGCAAATAAATCAACCAAATACTAAGACTGTCAGGAAAAAAAGTCACTAGTTTTTAGATCTATTAGCTGGTGTTTATGTAAGAAAGAGGCTGAAATCCCATTCCTCAAGTCACTTAAAAAATCAGTGAGCAAAATACGTGTTATAACAATCCTGAAGTTGCACAAAGTCAAAAATAAGTTTCTGCTGTCTCTTATTTCTGGAATTCTTGATATTTTTTCATGGAACAATGTGTCCCCATACTCTTCTGTGTGTTGCATCTGCTCCATACTATGTAGGCAAGTCAGAGCTGATCATATTCAGGACATGTTTTGTAATATATTATACGAAGGATTATCCAGTTTAAAGTTGATGGGCTTTTTACTCCTTAAAGACCACAGATAAATGTGCCTTCAGAGTGTAATGAACCTTCCTAAAACCTATCACTATCATTATATTTTAATCCTTTACATAAACTACCTCCTTTCTCTTCCAGGATCCTGGATTTCCGTCGCGTGCCACCAGTTGCAGGTAGACTGGTTAACATGACGAGGGAAATACGAGATGTTACTCGTGACAAGAAACTGTGGAGAACGTTTTTCATCTCACCAGGTATTCTTGGAAATAACACTATATGCTTTCTATCTTGCTGAACACGTACTTAAGGGAACGATGTGTAGATTGCTTAATTGCTCAGATATTTCTAATAGAACTGTCTTCTAGACCTTTGAATAAAAATAAATGTGGAGACATAGCCTACAAAGAAGACTTTATTGTTTTGAATTGAGTGCCTTTTCCCCTTGACAAATTATCCGCAGAGACAGGCTTTTATGTTCACAAATGCAATGTATTCAACAAATGTTTTATGTAGAGTAATTTCTAAAGCAATTCCTTCTGTTGCTCTCAGTTTACCCAAAACCTTATTACTTAGCCCATTAGTTATTTAGACTTTTTTTCCTACTGCAATGTGATCTGTCACTTCTGTTGGTCAGATGCATTTATTTCTTGGTTTTGACAGGAGGATCAAAACCTAATTTTCTCAGTCATGAACCTCAGTTTTTGTTACAATAGGAGTGTGAAAAACATCAAGCAAATAGATGTGTAACATATCCTGCTTCCAGCTCAAATTCTCTGCTGGGTAGAGGCCAGAATAGAAGTGACCTGAATTGTTCCCAGTCCTCGTTCTTGCTTTGAGGGCTGACCCCAGGAACCAATACCATTCTCTCTTTCTATTACTCTTGACTCTTTCACAACATCTGGTGGCCCAATACCATTCTCTCTTTCTATTACTCTTGACTCTTTCACAACGTCTGGTGGCCCCAGCCAAGGATGGAGCTCCACAGGGTGGGAGTTCTATAAACACAGGGTAAAGCCATGCCCTGCTCATCAAAATATACATCTAGAATAGGTAAAGATGGGCAAAGGGTGGGAGAAAGTAGTGTCGTCTCTGTTTAGCATCTGGGATGCTGAGATGGAGAAGTTAAGGCTCTGAGTTAAGGCACAAAAATACATGCTTAAGTATGTTCTTAGAGAAAGAATGTATAGGGAAATAATTTAAAGCATGTAGCTATGTTCCAGTGAGCTTAACTGGTATTATTTCAGCTGCGTGCAAATGTGCTTTGCTGAACTCAAGCTGTGACTTGTGTAACAGGCAATCTGGAGCAGAAATCCCTGGAGATCTCTCCCATGCTCTGTGTATGATTGGCCAGAAGCTGTTTATCCTAGATCCCTAAAGTCAAGATCCAAAGACTTAATTACAGTTTCTCCTGACGCAACTGTAATTCATTGCTCTTAGCTAGAAACCAGAGCCCTGTCATGGCAGAGCTTTCTCTCTTAAAATGTTTATCACGCTTTTGTGACCACCAATAAAGTCATTATTATGGCTGTTATTTTTAGCTTAATATTTATGTTCAGCTCTACAGGACACACAGTTGAGCAGACAGTTATTCATTCCAGTAACTTCACTTGTAAAATACATTACATAATTACAAGAGATTTCATCTTACCCCGTGTTATGAGTGCTCCAATTTTACATGTACAGTCGTGGTGACAGTGGTGACAGTACCTGGTGACAGTGTTCAACAAACCTGATGTGCAGATGTTTCTGTGTGCTAGGCACTTGTATCTCAGTCGCTTTCTCTCCCTCTCTCCCTCTCCCTCTCTACATTTTTTTTTCTTGAAGTCTTTCTAGGCAAACAATCATACACAAAAGATGGCAAAAAAATCTTGTGACTGTTTATGTGCACAAGGTACTTTGGCTTACTTGAAATATAAGCCATTTTATTCCCATTTTAGCAAGTAAAGACACGGATTAGTAGGTTTGCTTGCTTTTTAGTCTTTCCAGGTTATATATCAAAGGCTTATGGGTGAATTTGAGTGATTTCTGAGAATTACAGAACTGTACTCAAGTACTGAGCAGCTTACAGCAGCCAGAGCATGGCAATGCAGAGTTAAGGCTGCCAGTTCGGATGAAGATCTTTATCTTGTCATTATAAAATTCCAGACATCCAAGGGATGATCCAAGCATAATCCTTTATACAAATTTATTTAGAGGCCTCAGATAAATTCAATTAAAATATTTGATTAACTATGAATCAGGCTTTTCTGGAGAATAAAACACTTAAGCAATTAATTTTTCTTTCAATTTTACATTCCCTAAATCAATATACTTTGCTTAAATCATGTTGGTTACTTGTCAGAGTTCTTCCCTACATGTCCCCAGTTTAATTAGCTGGATTCTCATTAACATATGCCCAACCTTCATCTTGTATTTCATACTGACCTTAAAAGGCAGACATTAATTAATGCTTAATGAAAAAGTAATAAAGGTCCTAAATTAAGCATTTAGAAAGAAATTCACAAACCTAACAGGCAGCTCAAGCAGCAGATTGAGGGCAGAAAAGGGAAAAGAGGAGGGTGCTGGGACGAGCCCCGTGGCCCGGGGAGGTGAGGATGGAGTGGGACTAGGAGCCTGGGGAAGACTGGAAGAGGCTGACTTGTCCCCTCTGGCAGACGAGGGGCAGCAAATTCAGTTGGTTTTGAAGGAGAACTCATTACAACGCTGAGAAATCATGGTGTGATATATAGATACTTGCAAGAACCAGTCTGTGCGCCTGCATTAAGCTATCAAGGCCCCTCTGGGAGTCCCTTTCAGGTGGCTGTGTCTCTGCATCTCCATCCCTAGCAGTGCTCAGCGACAATTAATGGTCACGGGGACACATTGTGTCTGCTGGCAATGTATCCCTCTCCATGCACCCATGTACATCTCTTAAAATTAAATGAGCACTAAATGTAATTGAATTTATACAAATCTCTTCCCCTTGGGCTGGGAGACCACTGTTTGCAGTGGAAACCCTCAGAGGGTAAATATTGATGATCCTCATCAATACACCATTTTATTCCCTGGACCAGTGCCGGGATGTGTTGGAAGAAGCCTCACTGCATTTCCGCGCCTGGGCCATCTCACTTGTCCCGTCAGGCGTGGAAATCAGGGCCTCTTACTGCCAGGAAGCTGCGGGCAGTTGTAGCTTCAGAGCACGCTGCAGAGCGGCACCCCTTCTTCCATTGCAAAGTGGAAATGGCTGCGAGCAGACAGGTCAGTCGATGCATTAGGCTGCATTCAGAGAGAAAGCAGATTGCAGAAAAGTGCACTTCCAGGCAGTTTGGACTAAACATGAGAAATGAAATTAGGTCAGTAATTATTTAAATTAATTTTACATCCTTGGCAGTAGGGCAGACTGCAGTAGCCCTGCTACTCTTAGAAATGAATGGTAATTTGCTAGGAAAAAAGAGACATATTAATGATGTCAGCCTTCATTTTGGAAGTAATTGAGGCAGCAGCTTACAGAAATCAATGTTACACAGCTAGTAAGCACTATGTTTTTGTTCATATTAACCAATTCCAAGGGATTATGGATTTTTTTCCCCCTCTCAGCAAACAATAGCAATTCTGAATTAGCTATTATTTTGAGCAGGTAAAAGAAAGATCTTTTCATGCATTGCTTTAGTAAATATTCAGGATTATTTCCAGTACTCCAGTTGCACAGGCTTGCTAAATGTCCTCTATTAACAGTCACGCAAATCTCAATAAAAAATTGCTCTGCCAAGCACTTTGCTTTAAGGTATCTCCACTTGTTCCTTTTCTTCCTGAGAAGAATTATTGTTCAGCTATCAGGACGATGCACAGAAAATGTGCAGATGAGTACACAGACACTCTGGTTCTTAATTGTTGTAATTAGTTGGAGTTTCGATCACCAGACCATGATTTTTGCGTGGATTTCATTACAAATTGTATCCATTCATCCTCAGATAATGAAAATCAGACATTTGCAACACCGCCTGGGATTCTTTTGCCGCTCTAGTGCTTTGGGGAAACAATTTTGTCTTTTAATGAAGAAGGAGTTTGCATGTTGCAAATTCCCAGCATTTCAACATTTCAGCATGTATAAACATCCCTCCCTTTCTGGTTTGCCAGCACGGCTGCTGTTTCCATTTCTACCTACTCTGCAGGAGCACAAATTCCTGGCGGTCGCTTCTTTTGCAGGTGTACATAGGGATGGGGTTCTGTACAGAAACACCTGTACTCTATGAGAGAGGAACGTATGGGCTGGGCAATTTTAATGGGAGGAGAAGGACCACAGTCCAATTAGATCTCATCTCCCTTTTCTGTCTGATTTTTCCCTTTGAAAGGCCAAACCATGCTCTTACCGTGGGATTGCCAGCAAAGCACTGGGCTTGTGTCTCTAGCTGGAATTTCACCCTCAGCCTGCTGTGCAGAATGTGGGTCACCTACTTAGGTTTCAAAGAGGCTTGCTACTGCACCTTGAAGTCTTAAATGAGAACTGTGTTTTTCTGTATTTGGTATGTCTTTTTTTTCTGCATTTTTAAGAAACCTTAAAAATTAGTGTTTCCCCAGATAATTCAGGCTGCTTCATCTCACTGCCTGTATAGAAGAACTAGGGTAGATATACCAAGATGTCTATTCTGTATCAATCAAAGCAGTTAATTTTTTTAATAGTAACTTGAGATACAGCATTCTTTCACCTCCACTACCCCCAGAAATCGGACAGGAGCCATGGAGAGTAAGTTACCACAGGTCTGAGCCAGCAGGGAGAATAACAGCTGGCAGAAAAAGCTTTGCCATTGAAAGTAACTTCTCACAGAGAAATACACTTGTGGTTTTACTGCAAGTTTGCTGTCTCAATGACAGGACACATCCTGCCATCGCTCAGAGGACTGGACTCCCGTTGCAAGTGATGGGGGTTCTGTGGGAAAATCAATAGCTGGAGGAGCCCAGCAGGAGCAGGGATGAAGGGCCCGGCGTGGTGCAGGCACCACACGTGCTAGCTGTGTCAGTCACTCTGCAGCAGCAAATGCCATCACTGACATAGCCCCCGAGCTTTCCTGAAGATTTATCTGGATACGAATGTGTGATTACTGTCAGATGATTAGTCCCAGTTACTTTCGTTGACAATACAGAGCAGGGTTTCATTGTTCCCAAAGTTAAATTCAGAAGCAAACTATTAAACGCAGTATTTATCTTCCCACTGTGCAAAACGCTGTGTTTAATGTAATTCCTTTTTTGAAAGGTCAGATTTACATAGTGAGCAGCAGAGGCTGCAATAGCGCGGGAGGGGCATTGCTGGGCCTTTTGCTCTTTACAAAACAGTTAGGGCGGCAGATAACCGAGCATCGGCTTCCCACTGCCAGGTGGAAGTCAGGTCATAGAAACCCTGGAAGATAAATTGTCTCAGGCGATCAAGATAAATCTGTGTGGGTCCTCGCCCTCCACAGATGAGTGGGTGATGCTGACACCCCTGAACTGAAGCACAAGCCCCACTGCAGCTTCCAATCGGTGGAAACATAAACCCTCGCTGCAGCGCAGGGGAGAGCCCTACCTTCCCACTGAGGCAGCAGGCGCCCAGGAAATAAGGGATCCCTTTACATCTCCTAGCTCTTCTGTGCTAGCCTGCAGCAAGCAGCGTCTGGGTGTGATTTCTTGTAAATCATCCCTTGTGGCAGCCTGGAACCCCTTGAAAGATTTTATCTGCGATAATTTCTTTTAAGGGCATAAATCACAGATGTTTTTCCCCAGGTTTTATTTGCCGAGAATATCCCAACCTTCCTAATGGCCCAGTATGATCCTCCCGTTTGCAGGCCGTCTGTACCTGGCAGTTGCTGGCCACAAGTGCTTGGACAACTCTTCACTTTCATCCTGAATTATGGAATTGGTTCACAGGGAGGCATGAAGCCCTCTTGGTTTTGCCAGGATGATCAAAGGCAAAGTTGAGGCACCTGTGTTAGTCCTGCAAAAGCCATGCCAAGTCCATGCTGCAATAGCATTTTTGAAAAGGAAACCCGTGAGAAGTTACAGACTGCAGGGCAGCATGCCCAGGGCTTGTGTTAGGTTGAGTTTGTCTAGATGTTGACTTTACACTTGATTTTAGACTAATGAGATGAGTGAGTCCAAAGGAGGGCCACTGACATGGTCCTGGAGCTGGTGCACCTGGTCTACAAGGAGAAGCTGAGGGCTTCAGATTTTTTTAACCTGGAGAAGCTGGCCTGAAGCTGTAGCTTGGACCAGAGGCCTCCAGAGTCACTTCCAACCCAAGTTTCCCTGACTGCGATTACTCTTTTCCCGTGCGATTTGTAAAAAGGTTTTCAAAACTTCAGAGATATGAGTTATATTACTGAGTTGCTTAAAAGGAAAAATGAGTGGGGTTTTTGTCTAAAAGTTAATAGGCATATCGTGTGATGAGCAGTGCCAAGACTTGTGCTGGGGTTCATAGGAAATAGCCAAGCCGAGTGGCTTATTGGCCAAGGACATGGTCACTTCTTAGCTCATGGGAAGTCTCAAACTACTGTTCCTTTAATTAAAATGTTAAGGGACTGAGTATGCCTTATATGTAAGAAAAAGCTTTTAAAATAATTTTTAAGAAAGGATATTCTGCATGGTAAACCACTTTAAATTACAAAATTAAAAGTGTAGACGTGCTAAGTGCTCCCTTCCTTCCTTTTGTAATTTATGTTCATTTTCCTTCCCTGAAGTACTTTTCTTTTTACCTTTACCCTGAAGTAATTGTCAATGAGGTTTTTGACCACAGGGTAAATATTTCTGGACTGAGTAAGGATATATTTAACTGGTATGAGCCAAGCCTGTGAATGTAAATATACAGTTCAGGTTGAAGTTGTTCCTGAGCACAGATAGATGGGTGGTCCTTATGTCACAGCAGAGGGATTCAAAAAGGCTGTGTCCAGAGTAAAGTAGTCACAACTTAATGGACAAATATGATGGCCATCAATAGAGGCTTGGAAATGAAATGCTGAGACAAACTGTCAAGTAGTACACATCAGCCTTATAGTCCAATTATTTGGTGTAATTCCATGGTTAACAGTCGGTCCCAGATAATACGGTTAATTAATACAAACAGAAACATCACAAGACCTTATTGCTCTTCCACATTCTCCTTCTCCTCCTTCCCCAATCGCAGCTCCTTGCCCTGTTTCTCCCTCCATCCTGTTACCTCCGTAGCACTGGGGCTGGTATTGCTCCCTGTCCTCTCGACTCATCGTCTCCCCTGCGTCACCCATCAGCAGTGTACCATCTCCACCAGGCGCTTTGCCGGCCATAGGTTGGATCTGGACTGGGAGGATGTCACAGCAATGCGCAGGGCAGCGTGCTGCAGGGCATCGCTGTGATGGAAACCCACCAGCTTAACTACCTGAGCCACGGCGTCATCTGTGGCAGGCAGAAAACCACCTCCCTCTGTTCACCAGCCCTTCCTGCCTCATTTAGACTGATCCTGCCCAAAGGGAGAGCAGCTCAGAAGCAATATTTAAATTTGGAGGCCTTGTGAAGAATTAGGAAGCAATGTGACTTCTCAGCTTCGTGCATTACCATAAGGAAAGGGCACAGTTTTCCTCTAACGATATTTTATGTGCATAAAGCAATGTCAAAAGAGTTGTAGCACACCGACAAGAAGATCAGCATTGTGCTCCTGTTCTTGTTCGTAGTCCAGCGTTGGTGGGGTTTGAGGATGAGCTGCTCTCTCCCACCTCCAGTGAATTCACATGGGAATTGGGTTCTTGTAAAGAGGTGGGTGTTCCCGTTGGTACAGAGATATGTGGTGGCAACTTTGGGGAGGTTTTACGGTAACACACACTCCAAAACCTGCTGCGGGTTCTTTTTTGTGGTTGGTGGAGTAACATGATGTGTGGAGGAAGAAATTTGTGTTTGGGATGTGTGCTGACAGAGTTACGTCTGTGCTATTTCCACCTTCCACACACATCCCCACATGAGTCTTCATGGTAAATAATTCTTCATAGTAAAACTGCCAGTTCTTCTCATACCAGCAAGTAAATGAATGAAATGTTGTCTGTTCTTAAAGAAATGAGCGACGATTTTGGATGGTGACTTAATTTTGGCCACGTGTCACTTGTGGGATTTTGGGTTCCAGCCTGGGGTAACAAATATATCCCAAAGGATGTATCACGCTGGGAAAATGAAAGGAGAAAGGAAAGGAATAAAAAAAAATTGTGTTTCTGGAATATAAATAGACTGGAAACAGTCACAGAGAGCTCAGCATAGGGTGTGATCCCAGCCACTGAAATGAATGTCTTTCTAGTGGTTTCAGTGGAAGAATACTACGTGCAGTAACAGGGTTTTGGGTCTGAGATTTATTTCTGCTCGTGTTCCTTCACATACATCAGTGTTTTTATGAATTCTTGAATGCTAATTTAAGGGTAGATTTTAAAACTCTTTTCCTGCATTTGCCAGCCAACAACATCTGCTTCTACGGGGAATGCTCCTACTACTGCTCAACTGAGCACGCTCTGTGTGGAAAACCAGATCAGATTGAAGGGTCTCTGGCTGCTTTCCTACCTGATTTGTCTTTAGCTAAAAGAAAAACCTGGAGAAACCCTTGGAGACGTTCCTACCACAAGCGCAAGAAAGCAGAGTGAGTAGTGGTGAGCAAAGGGTTTGCCAGCTGCAAAGGGCGATAGGAAAATAAAATAGTGCTGCAGTTACTGCCATTGCCCGATCTAAAGCATTGAGACTTAGGAGAGCATCTGCATTTCTTCAGCGGGTCCAGCTCCTGGGAAGGGACAGAATACTTACACTTGTAAGGAGCTCCAGCTTATGGTCCTGAACCTGAAAGGAAGGACCTTCAATGGCATAACTCCCTCATGGGACAGATACTTCCAGTGGCTTTGACAGGATGCATCGGGACCTGTCTAAGTCCTATCAGATGGAGAAAGATTCACTGCTATCAGCAGCCCTAAAGAAGTCTCAGATGTTTTCATCATATGACTGATGGTGCAGCTGGTCTCCTAAATCTTGAAGCTATTAGCCAGATAGTTTTCAATCTTGTGATTTTCTTCCTTTTTCATCAGTCACAATCTTTATCGGTTGCCTGCATTACTGGAAGCAGCCTGAAGAATTTGCTGCCTCTACCTGACCCTGCCCTCAGTTGAACATGATACAACTAGATCTTTGCAAAATAACTTTTTTTTTTTTAATACTCGGTAAGCTTTGTATGTCACATAAAATATCAAAATATTGGCTTTTCCAGATGGGAAGTTGATCCAGATTATTGTGAAGAGGTTAAACAAACACCCCCATATGACAGTGGGACCAGAATTCTGGATATAATGGATATGACGGTTTTTGATTTCCTAATGGGTATGTTTCATTTCTTTCAAAAATTAAATGCAACATTTAATTAGAATAAGAACCTTTTCTTTCTACACCGCTCTGCATAGCTCAGCAGTTTGCTAAAGCGTGGTTGAAGCTGCATTTACTGTATGTGCCATTCTAGATGATTATGAGAAAATGCAGATTTACATGGTTATGTATTCCCATCAGTGCAGATTAAAGGAACAAAGATGTTCAGAAATGCAGAGTGATGATGAATGCAGGTCAGGCTAGTCTCCTTCACAGCAGTTAAAGGGCTTCACAGTTTGCTTAAGTGAGTGCTTTACCATTGTAACATATGGCTCCTGGATGCACATGCAAGGACTGTTCGTTATTGGCACATTGTTTTCAACCTGCAGTAGTATTCATTGCTGCTTGCTCTAAAAACTGTCAGAGGGAGGAAAAAAAAAGAGGTGTTGCTTTGTCACAAAGGCAACTGTGGTATGTATCAGGAAGTTTTTTTCTGTTTATATAACCTGATGGGAATAAAATAATTATTAACAAACAGGTAATAGTGACCTATTCCAAGCCTACTCAGTGGTTAACACTGAGACATTCTCATGTGAAACCTGTTCTGCTGCAGCTCATATACCTGTAAGGTGCCAATGTACATCCTCTGCCATTGCCACTACTGAGATTTCTGCAATAGGCTGCAGCAGGAGAGGCCAAATCACAGCTCAGAAGCCATATGTAGCACCTATAAGTGGCTCAAGACCCCTGCCATGAAGACAAAATTCATAGCTTGGCACTGGTACTCTGCACGTTGACCTTAAAAAGCATGTCTGCCTGCCATGGGTGCCCAGAAAGAGCTGTTCAGCTGTACCACTGCAGCAGCATCCCGATCCATATGTTAGAGCCATAATACCATTTTGGCCTTCCAGGCAGCCAGAAATTTGGACAAAGTTCTTATTAGAGGAAAAAGAGAATGTTTGGTCGTGGCTCAAAAAGTTTAATACGCTATTAGCAAAGTCATATGGATTTACATCCCTGCTTGAAAGATGCATTTTCCCCTCCCTAAGCTAAGCCTCGCACCCAGCACACATGCCATGGTTGCTTTGCACATCGTACTGACCCAGGGCTGGAGCAGCAGGGCTCATTTTCACCAAAAAACTGGCTTAGGACGTAGCTACCTCATGGGTGACCAGGCTCCCCAAGCAGTTGAGATGCCATCGTTTCTGAGAGGGATTTTCTTGGCGCACCACAGGAGGGGTTGCTGAAGGTGGGAAGGTTTGTTTTGTCTCCTGATGGGTCCTCTAGACCTTAAGTATAAAAGCTACAGAGAGTTTGAAAAGCTCCCAGAGGCATAGCAGCCCATCTTCCAGTATCGCACAATAGAAGCAAATGAGCTCAGCAGACCCATTGTTTCCTCTGCCCTACACAGCCATCATGTGTGGGGAGTGCTGGGCTTCTTGCTGAACTGTAGCTTTTGTATTGCCCTGACCTGCAGGCTCAGCAGCAAGCCAGAGTGAGATCGATCTTTTTTTCTCTTTATTCCGTAGGTAATATGGATCGACATCACTACGAAACCTTTGAGAAGTTTGGAAATGAAACATTTATTATCCACTTAGATAATGGAAGAGGGTAAATACCTTTAATAATCTTTCTGGGGGAAAAAAAAAAAAGGAAAAAGTTAGTCTTTAAGACATCTTTTGTCATGTTCTTGCTCTTATCTTTGAATAGGTTTGGAAAATATTCCCACGACGAACTTTCCATATTGGTGCCTTTAAACCAGTGCTGCAGGTATGTTTCATTTCCAGGGTTGTTTCCCATTTTATGCAGTTGTTTCCACTAATAGGACTGAAATTGTTCAAGTGAATCTTTTATTGCATACCATGGAGGGGAGGAGGTGTTATGATCCTGCCCAGTAAGCCTGACCCGAGCTAGTCCTGGGGACTAGCACTAACACATTATGTGCCTTGTTGAGATCAGGACCTTGCAGGAGCGTTGCTGTGAGCTGTTGTGAGAGAGGCTTTATTAAGACAAAACACGTGTCCTATTGAAGTCAAGTGGCAAAACTTTCCCCAGCTTGTTCAAGTGCTTCACAATGGCTTTCCATGGTGCCCGTGGCCAGGATTTTCAGAGAGGACAGGCGATATTTAGAGTTTCGGCTTTGCACGCCTGGGACACGGGGTGTGCTCTGTGTCTGCGGAGGCTCTGGGCATCCCTGCAGAGTGAGCTAGTGGCAGCCGCCGCCACCACCCACGCCCCAGCTCAATGCCACGTGCATCATGCACGTCGGTGCCGAGATGGACGTGACCCCACGAACGCTGCACCAGATCCACTCAGTGCCTGACCCAGCTGAGGCACATGAAGGCTGTCTGCACTTGACCGCAGAGCTGTGCTCCAAAACCAATCCACCTTTAAGGGCTCCCAAAGATCACTGGCCAGGTGACAATGCCAGCTGCTCATTAGGACTGTGACAGTGCCTGCTTCTCATCATTTCAGATCACATAATAAGGTTTTTATGCTGTTATTGCTATGCTGACTATAAGCCTTTTAGCCCTGTCAAGATCAGTAGTGATAAAAATACTGATTTGCATTTTTCTTCTCCTTTTTCTCTTAGAATAAGGAAGTCTACCTATCTGCGATTACAGTTGTTAGCCAAGGAGGAATACAAACTCAGCCTCCTGATGAAGGAATCTTTACTAAAAGATAAAATAGCTCCCATTCTCTACCAGCCTCACTTGGAGGCCATGGACAGGCGGCTGCGGATTGTCCTCAAGGCTGTTAGTGACTGTATAGAAAAGGATGGTTATGACAATGTGGTTGAAAATGACTTTAACACTGATGTTAACACTGTTACGACCGAGAGGTAGTGAAATCGCAAGACTACGTTTTTACCAGCCAAGTAAAGAAGATTCAAAGAGGGGGAAAAAAAAAAAAAGTCTTGCAAAAGACTGTATATGCCACTTTGTGAATTCAGTGAATTCAGAAATGAGATATAATTGTTCCCAAAGTAGGTAAAGTGTAGACTCTGCAAAGGATTAGTTCATTAAGAAAAATAAGTCTAATGTGATGCTTTTCATTAGTTCTTCAAGAGAGATTATGAAAAGATTCAGAAAATACTCAGATCATTGACAGACAACAGTCTGATAGCAAAACACCTCCTGTCCTTTTTGTATAGAAAGGAGGCCTTTACTTAATATTTTGTATTTATATATGGTATATCTATAAAAACCCAGACCTACCTACCAAATTTAACTAAGAGGGACGGCATAGTTTTGTGACTCACACTTTATTTGTGGTGACAGTCCACTTAGTATTTTGTGTTAACCCTTTAAGTGCTCTAATCCACTGTATCTTATTTAAATTGAATGCTTTTTTTTTCCCCCCAGCTACTCAGCATTTAAAGGGTTAAGGCATTATGAACTTTTAAAGGCAAAAAATAATAATTATTATAATAATAATAATAAATACAGTGGTTACCAGAAGGGAATTTCACTAATTGTGCATTGACAGGAATACTTGAATGTTGGTTTTACAAAGTGATGTAAAATGACAAGTTGTACTATTTGTCCATAAGGAGCTGGCAGCTCTTATCTTTCTAGACTATCATAGCTGAGCTGCTACTTTTCAACTTTGCTTTTGATAGTTTTGTGTAAATATATACATATATGGGTAAAAAGCTGCTTTCAGCAGCTCTAGGCTTACTTTTGCAGCATTTTTGTGGAATTGTTTGCAACGTGGTAAAAGTGCAATAAAGATATGGCAAAATGTGTAGCCATCGTGTCTAAATGGATTCATTTTTCACTGGAAATCTTGTTCAGAGCAAAGCTGTGCACAATAACCAAGTATTCTAGAAGTAGTTGTTTAAATTGCCCTCCCCTTTTGTAGCAACAGCAAGTCAAGCCAAAGTAGGGAATTGCTGATTAATATACGTTACAGCTCCGATAAGGAAAATGGCTAATCTTTCATACGACAGCATTGTTTTGATTATCATTTCAGCATCCCTTCCTCTTGCAATTACAGCTGTAGAAACAAGCTGTAGAGCAACACCTCTAGAAGATTATGGTTTGACACACTGCCCAGAGGATTTAGATACATCAGTTCCTCTGACTTGGGTAGCAAAAGCCCTTGCACAACCCAGAAAATCTCAGCCTAAATTATCTAGAAACATGATATTCTCAACAAAATAATTTTGAATCATGTACAGCTGAGTTCATTTAATATGTGTGGAGACTTTCAGGCCAAAAGCAAGCTATAAATTGAACAAGTGGCTGTATTTGACTTGTGAAAACATGGTGTGGTATGGAAGGAATCCCTCATCGCTCTTTTGGGTGAGGAGAGAATTTATTATGACAATATTCATCACAAGTATAATTTAAAGCTGTCATTTGTTTCATTTTATGTCTTTCTTCTCAGGGATTTATAAATATATACTTTAAAAGCTTGTAGCCAGATAGACTAAAATGTAGGCATATTAAAATTATGAATGAGAGAGCTGCTATGTAGTCTCATTCACTTCTTAGGTTGATATCACTAAAAAAAATTATGTCTTTTACTATTTCACTGCCTGTTTCAAATTCCCGTGACTCTCACATACATGGCATACAAAGACAACAGAACATGTCAGATTATACAACTGTCCATGAACTTGGAAAATTTCTGTGTTACCCCATGGCTATTTTTCACTTTCAAAGACCCACCTGTGGTAGCAAGGATGTTCTCTGTAATGCAATGCTTACACTGCAGCTCTCTCTCCCCATTAGCCAAAAAACCCAAAACATGGGATTGTAAAAAGATGAAATGGGTGATATTATCCTTGCTTTATCCTCAATGCCTGGCTGTGGTTTCCCTGCAGGTGCAGCTTTCTCTCACTGTGAGATTGTGCCAGGACAGCAGACAGGAGCTATAAAATCACCTCCGTGGCACAGGTCTGCTTTCTGCTTCTGGGGTCAGGTCAGCCAGAGGCTCTGGGTCTGCAAACCTGGTTTTCTTTTGGAAAGCAGCACTTGGCAGCCTCTTAGCTCATAGAGGAGCAGATATAGCGAAGGTCTTTGTTCTTTAGAAGCTGAGTTACAACCCAGGTCAGGAGCTTCTGGCAGGGTGGTTCAAGCTGAAGGTCTCTGCAGAAGGCTGCCTGGTGCTGTCAGGCATATCAACTTACTGTTATGAACCCAATTCTGTATTTCTGTAAGCAGAATTAGTAGTGTTTCTATAGATTAATTAACCGAAGGTCACTCATTCTTGCCATATTGTAACCAGCTCTGTAGGGTCTCCAGTTTCTTTCCTTTCCTGAACTTTGATGCTTCCCCTTGCAAGCTCTGTACTACAGCTTTCTAGACCTATCAAAATTCTTCTTGTCTCCAGTCCTAAATTCAACATACAGAAAAGCTGAAGTGGAGGCTTTTCTTTGGGATGAGACATGCGAGCATCTTTGAAGGTGGGAGATATTAGCTAAGAAGCTGTGAGAGGTTTCCTTTCCTCTCTGCTCTCAGATGAGAAATTGGGGTGAATTAACCACACCTGAGCAGTGCAAGTCTAAATGCAGTGCAAGTCTAAATGCACTGCAGGGTGCTCAGGCAGTGAATGGCAACAGCTGAGTTCAGGCCCTTTGTGTGGCTAGGGGAGCTGAGGACACGGGATTGATCTGCGGGTTATTTCAGGAGGTGGAAGGGCTGATTAATTAAACAAGCTGTGGAGTTGTTTCTTGGTATCTGCCAGGTAGCTAGAGCTTTGACTCATGTTAATTTTCTAGGTGTTTGGGAAGGGAAAAGAATTATTGCCTTGTTCTGATATTTCTTTTCTACGTGGACAGGGGTGAGTGGGCATGATAGATGAGAAACTGGAGTAGGGAAGTGAACTTGTGGCTCTGCCTTTCAGCTCTTGGGGCTAATACAGCTTTGAGAATAGCTCTGTACAGCCCAGGGAGGGGCAAACCTCTGCTTTTGGGGTGCATCTGCATTACCCAAAGACAGAGCTAGCAGCTGGCCTGAATGTCTTCTCCTGGTAAGCTCATGGGTTTTTGAGAGCCTTCAGGGAAAGGGTGTTGCTCTCCTGGAGTGAATTGCGTCTTTTACAAGCAATGAGGTCTTTCTGAGCTATCTCCACAGCAGGTACCATTTGAGGGTGCCTTTGCACAGGGACAGCTTGTTCTTGGGGGTTCTTGTAGGGAGGACACCATGGATTTGACGTGCAGAGGTCGTGCACTTCAACATGCATGTGTGACAGCAGATTACCACAGTGCAAGACGATGGCTCTGAAAGGGCTGTCATTGTGCATTAGGTCAGTAATCCATGAACTAAGGAGGATTAGCATGACACAGTGTAACATCTCTTTAGGAGTCCTACATATCTACCAGACAAAAAGATTTGCTCTGAGAAGATAAATAAATGTCAGAATGCAATTGGTTTGTCTCTGAATCTCAAAAATGGGTGTAGCAACAGCACCTAGGCAGTAACGTACCAAGGAATCTGCAGTAGTCTATCAGGGGATATGTTCAGCACAATAAATATAGTATGCACAATAAATAACAGATAAAAATAGATATTATACCTCTGAAAGCACCTAATTACAACTCTATCTGACAGCCTAGAATAGCTTACTGTGTTCTCCTGAGTAATTCAGATGAGAGCCTTTGTTTTGCTGTTTTTCTGTTATTTAAGCATCAAATGAAACTCACACAAATTAAAAAAAAAAAAAAAAGCTGTCATTGTTTGAATTAGATATCATTGTTGTGATCAGCAGTACGGGGCAGAGCCCATGATATACATATAAGCTGCAAGCCTGAAAGAGATTGCAATGTAAGCAACAGCAAGAAGTGTTGCATAGGAGTGAACCTGGAATTTCAGCCTGACTATTGCCTTTGGGTGCTGAACTGAAAATGAACTTGTCTTATGTGGGTGTTAAAGGGAGAAGTGTCCGAAGGGTATTCTGGTTCCTGCTAGTGGGTCTGTACATGGTACCTATAGGTGCAAATGGGATGTCCTGCTCTCTTCCATTGGAGCAACTGCATCGTCCCCTTAACACATCCAAACTACACCTGAAGACTGTCCCTGCGTCAAAGCTTTTGTGGCCCTAGCCTAAGTGTATTAGTTTCCAGCTTGGAGCTGAACATATACTAGAGCCCTGATAATTTGCATCCTGATGGAGCAAACTTCCTTCTAGTAGTGAATGTATGACCGCAAAATTCGTTTCCCAGAAATTATTCCAGATATTGGTTGTTTCCATGGACTTTCTTGCCAGTGGTTGTTTACTAAAATATTTGGGGCTCAATATACAGAAATGAACATGTATAAGGAAGAGTCTTTTTAAACTGTAAATTGAGTGTTTGAGGGAAATGGTTGAGGTGCCTGTAACAAGTTTTCACACAGAATTTCAAGTTATTACCAGTTAGAAGCTGCTGGATTTCTTGAGAATATTTTTTAATGCTAAAAGTGATTCATAGGTAGCCTCCAGCCATAACTCAGTCTGTGACCAGATCAAACTCAATTATCTGCTTGCTTCTACATTTGTATCAGTGAAGTACCAATCCAATGATTTTGGGGGCTGTCTAAAAAAAATTGAAAGCAAATCAATTTGGTGGGTCAAAAGACCTGAGAACTGAGGTCAGACCAGCTCTGGTCATGGGTGAAAATGAAGCATAAGCAAAAAGGAGGCTATTGATTTGGCAGTACCAGTACCTCTTCCTCTAATGCAATGTCAGAGCAAAAGTTTGTGTCTAGAGATTGTCTTCAAGAGCTGCTGGAATACCTGCTATCTGCTGCTCCATCTTTTTAGAGATGTTGAATACTTTCCAAGGTTTCCATTTATGCAACTTTGATGTAGTTAGCATGAATAAGTAAGGGGATTTTGAGCAGGATGAGGGGAATGCCCGCATTTGTATCCAATCCACTGTATGAAGACTTACATGCTGGGAGATCTGCTCCTCTCTTTCAAATGACT